AGGGTGTTTATGGGGACATGTACTGCTATCCTCATTATGGTATTGCTGATGGTCAGATTTATGGATCACAGCATTACCAGTACCCATCCACATACTACCAGCCAAAGACTACTGCCAGCAAACCAGCATACAAGGCTAAAACTGGCAAATCATCTCCTTCGGTACAAGAAGATGTTTCTACTGCGACTGCTGCTGATCAGCAGCCTGTCTTGTTGGATTCCTCCAAAACCACTCTGAAAAGCATTGATGGTGTAAAAGGTCTGAAGAAGGAAACTTTGCCTCTGGAACCAAATGGCCGTTTTGGTAATTACCAGAATCAAGGTAGCAAAACAGCTTACCCATGGTCTGGTGTCTGTACCTCTTTAGAAAAGCATCCGAAATTCTCGGGTGGGAGTCCTACATTGGCAGTCTCTAATAATAATAAGGTATAGCCAGAATATGAAAGTGCATGGACTTTGTCATCTATTATTGAGCTTACTCCACAAATTGTGTTACTGAATAGTGAATACTGATCGTTGATAATGATCCATGTACCACATGACTGTATTGTTTGTTGTGACCTGTCAAAGGACATCTTTATCAAATTTCTGTTCTGTCTAGACCTAATGATCAGTATCTGGGAAAGAAAGATAGATAAACCAGCACTACAATTTTTTGCGTTATAATCAACTTATTGATAGGTTTTGTGTTATTTTGGGGCAATGTAAGCTATGTTCAGTTGCATTTTTAAGTGAAATGTACATACCCTGCATACTTTCTTAGTTTGCTGTATGGACATCAACTGCTTCTGAACATGGGCATTCTTGCAGGGCTTGCATGGGCAGAACTCTTCGATGGGGCTACCATCTGCTGGGTTCATGAGTTCAATGTACTCTGGTAGTGGAATGTACAACACAAACACTTATGCACCTAGCTTTTGGTATGGTTCTCATGTCTATGGTCCTGGGCTGTATGGTGGGTGGAATGCGTTTTCGAATGGGAAGTACAGGCCAAGAGGAAAATCCTACGGATCTTATGGTTTTGGCAATGAAAACTTGGATGGTTTAGATGAGTTGAAGCGTGGACCAAGAAGTAGTCTGTTTAAAAACCAACAGGGTTCTGGAGCAGCTGTTGATGCAAAAGGACAGGAGCCTCCCAGCAGTGATGGCTCCAATGCTGTTAAGCAGGAACAGTACAACCTTGCTGATTTTGGTGAGACCTACTCAGATGCCAAATTTTTTATTATTAAATCATACAGTGAGGATGATGTTCACAAGAGCATTAAGTACAATGTTTGGGCAAGCACCCCTAGTGGAAATAAAAAGCTGGATGCTGCTTATCAAGAGGCTAAGGAAAAATCAAGCAGTTGTCCTGTGTTCCTGTTGTTTTCTGTAAGTCTGATCCTTGTCCTCTATTAAAGAGCCTTTTTTTCCCCTTCTGTGAACCTGTGTGTAAGGTTGGATGTTGTTGTTACTTGTCTTCCTCGATTTTTTTCAGGTTAACACCAGCGGACAGTTTGTTGGTCTGGCTGAGATGGTGGGTCGGGTTGATTTTAACAAGACAGTTGAATACTGGCAGCAGGACAAGTGGACTGGTTGCTTTCCTGTCAAGTGGCACATTGTGAAGGACATTCCTAACAGCTCGTTGAAGCACATCATTCTTGAGTATAATGAAAATAAACCAGTTACAAACAGCAGAGATACGCAGGAGGTGAGTTAAGTTGCTTTCAGTTTTCTCTTGTTTTGTCAGTTTTCTCCACTGATTGTTGATGGTAACACATTGTAGCAGAAATTCTTGGTATGCATGAATCAGGAAGCCAGCACTCTCTTAAGAGAAATGGAAAATTGCCCTTCAGATTTTTATGCCTCTTTTAATGTCACGGTAGCTAAGTTTTCCCATACTTTTTTATGGTGTCTGCAGGTTAAGCTTGACCAAGGCCTTCAGGTTTTAAAGATTTTCAAGGATCATGTCTGCAAGACATCCATCTTGGATGACTTTAGCTTTTATGATGACCGTGAAAAGATAATGCAGGAGAAGAAATCAAAGCGTCAGCATCCAGTTGAGGTGTGTGAGTGACTACCAATCTACTTTGTGTATTGAGCCCTCTTCTACTGCAGTTGTATGAATGCTAGCACTTGCAGTTTCCCTTGTTAACCTGAGAACTATGAAAATCTAGCTTCTGTTCCCTAATATTTCCTTTGAACATGTACAAGTTCATAGCCTTGTTGCTGCGGGTTATATGCAGCAATGGAGGTTCGGTAGAATTGGTTTGCGCATTTTTCCTATTATAAGCTCATGTGGATTGGCAATTTGGCACTATTCAGCCCGTTTCATGGTATCCATCAGTAGTGTTTACCCTTATTTGGATGTTGAGAAACTATTTCAACTGCCATTTTTCACCCTGCAGGTCATGAATAGAAAGTTGGCAGCCACCAACATTGCTGAAAATCAAGCTACTGATGGGAAGCAGAGCCTGCAGAAACCTGAGGCCATAGGGGAACAAAACGCTGTGGTGGAGAATGGTGTGGAGGCAGTAGCTGTTAATGGTGTCGCCCCAGAAGACATTAAGCCAACAACTGAAGAGGCGGCTGTTGCAAATGGCTGTTAATTTTCACTGCATGCCATCAGCTATTGGAGCCTGGTCCAAGGAGACACCTTTTGTGCCGCAGAAGCTGCTGGTGTTCAAGTCATTCAAGATTCTGCTATGTTTTTTCTCTCTCTTTGTTTTCCTTTGCAATGCTGCTTGGTTGCAGAAGGGTGCAGTCTAAGGTGATTCTGTATCCTGCTAGGTTTCTCGTGTTGGTTTCTCGGATGTACCATTTTCACAGTGGTTGGTTGCATTGTCATCTAAGGTGGTTAGATAGATATTAGCTGTTCTTATTCCATCAAGTTCTGTCATTTGTCTTGTCGTTTGGAGTTGTACCTAGGCGTGGAGATGTGAAAGGCCCTGGTTCATGGGCTCATGGCATTGGATTAGATGAACTGAATTGGAGCTCCAATTCAAACACATGTGGAAATAGAAATGAGGTCCAGTTGTGGATTTTGAAGCGAATGGTAATGGTATTGATCTTTTGGGCTAGGTGTTATCTGAATTTTGGAAACACCGATCTTTTTCTGTCATACATGTTACAGCGCGTTGGCCTTGGTTTAGGTTACTTCCAGTTCTCTATTGCTTTGCCAATTTCCTCCATAGCCTGCAATCTGTTGATGGTCAAGTAGTGAAATGGGCTTCGAACCAGTATCCATATTCGATTCTGGCATGTGTACATACTGTTGCAATTGCTGCCATGCTAATATTCACAGATATCACTTCAGGGTTTAGTGCTTTACTTATGGCAAGACGAATAATCAAATTCACTCAAAAGCGCAGCAAAAAGGGTCCAATACAAATAATGCAATTTATATTATTATATCATAGTTTCACAGCAACAATACAGCCGGCATTACAATTTACAACCTGTGTTGGGAAGAACAAGTTAGACAGTTAGTTTTACATGCACACAACGGTAGAAGTAAACTTCAAAGTCACGCACACAGCACCGGCGACGGTGATGACTGATGACACTTCTTTCTTTGGCAGCTACATCTTGGTGAACCATGGGTGCTTGAGCGCGGCAGCTGCCGTGAGCCGCTTGTCGGGGTTGCAAGTGAGCAGCCCGCTGAGTACCTGGAATCCTTCCTCGGACAGCTTCGTCTTCGGGAACACCTCGCGCAGTAGGTTGCGTTGCTTCACGTATATCACGGCCTGGACCTGGGTGGCGAACGGTGTGGACGAGAACCACGGCCACGTCGTTTCATCTGGCACGCCGAGGACGTCGAAGATCGCGGCGAGCTGGCCTGCTGCATTAGAGCCCACGAACAGTGGGGACCCATTGATGAGCTCCGCCATCACGCAGCCGAGCGACCAGGTGTCAACGAGGGCGTCGTAGTCGGGCTTCCCCAGCAGCATCTCGGGCGCCATGTACCACAGCGTGCCGGCGGGCTCGTACGGCAGCGGCTCGTCCATGCGCATGGCGAGCCCAAAGTCGCAGATCTTGACGGTGGTGCCTTCGCCGCCGACGAGGATGTTTTCGGGCTTGATGTCCCGGTGGATGACGTGGGCGTTGTGCATCTTCTTGGCGCCCGTGAGTAGCTGCCACATGACGGCGCGCACGATCGCCTCGGGTGGCGGCGGCATCCCAGCGCAGCGGCTTTGGTGGAGGAGGTCGTTGAGGCTCGGACCGACACACTCCATGACGAGGCAGCAGAGGTCCATGGTGGCCGGGTTGCGAGCGAGGCCGTGGAAGCCGACGACGAACGAGTTGTCACGGCCGCTCGCCTCCAGTAACCACGCCTCCCGCAGCAGCGCCATCTGGCTGCAGAAGTCCCCGGCGGCGAGGCGCTTGATGGCGACGGTCTGGCCGGTGGCGCGGTGGCGCGCCATGACGACGGCGCCGAAGGCGCCCATCCCGAGGCAGCAGGTCTCCTCGTAGTCATCGGTGGTGCCGATGGCGGTGCGCGCCCGGTTGTTGCGGGTCGGTCGCGCGGCGCCGGGGTCGCGGACGGCGGTGGCTGCTGCCTCGACGCAGGCGGCCATTAGGGCGAGTGGATGATTCCGCGGACTGCTTGCTGGTGGCGGGGGCAGGATCGCGGGAGGTGGGGGAGAGGCGGCTGGAAGTTGGTGATGAGGATGCGAGCCACGCGCAGGTAGCGGTGGCAGTTATATACAGCGAAGCGAGTCCGACTCCGATTTTTCGAATTCGACTCGGTTCCGCATCCGTATGTACACCGGAGGTGTGTATGAGCGAAAACGAAATGCATCAGAAATTCATGCGTTGAACACACGCACGGGTCCTATAATTTTTATTACACCATGCCGACTCGATCAGGATGGCGTATACCGACCGTATAGCAGTGGAACAAGCTCCGGAGTCCGGATCGACGTCAGTCCGGTACAAGAGCTCGATCGAGGCAGAATTGAAAATACGACGACCAGCTACTCCGGCATGGAGGGCTTGCATTGCATTGCCTCCATCACCAATTCACCAGTTGGAGAGAGCGCGCCGAGACAACTGAGGCTGAGACGGCGCCGGCGTGGTGGCCGGAAGAATGGTGACGTTGAGCTTCATGCCAAGCTGGCAGTGGCTGCCCACCGTGCAGATGAACCACCTCCGGCCCGGCTTGGCGAGGCTGAGCTGGTCGTCGCCGGAGTTCCAGACGGAGGTGGAAGCCGACTTGTTGCACGCCTTGAAGTCCGGCCCGCTCACCTCCGCCACGTTGTGGGAGCTGGAGGCGTACCTGAACGATGCAAATTAAAAGTGTCTCCGGATCAGAGAGCGAGGCCTATGCTGCGAGTACCGAGTGTGTCGCCGACTGTGAACTGCTTGCTCTCGGCCCAGGCGGCGTAGTCGAACCCGACGTCGCCCACGCCCACGACGTGATCCGTGGCAGAGGCGAGCGTGGGCAGGAAGACGAGGGCCATCGAGGCGGCCACTGCAGCCAGCATTTGCTTGGAAGCCATGGAGACGGATGCCTGCCGGACTCTTTCTTTTTTCCTTGGCTGTGCTTATGCGATGCCCTGAGTTCAGAAGCACGAATTCAGTGCATTCTTATATAGAGGACGAGTTCCCAGGATGTTGGAGAATCGGTCAGTGCTGCACTGCTGCGACGGGCTCCAAAAAGCAGGCTCAGGGCGGCAGCAGTCACGGGCCAAATCAAACATTTGTAGTTTGTTGGACATGTCCATGCCCTCTACATTCTACAACTCTTTCCATTTCCATGCCTTGTCCTTATCTTATACAACTGTAGTGAAGTGGAAACTTAGCATCGGAATAACCGATGCTAAAAAAAACAACGGTAATGCTCACGGGCAGACATTCGTCCGATTGGACGCCGCCTTCCTAGCCTGCGCGGCCCTCTAGGCCTGCCTTCTCCTCTTTACGTCTCCCACATCTCTCTCTAAATATGTACCCACTTGCTCGCCCATCGCACGCTTCATGGCGTCGTGCGGTTGTCCGTCCGCTTCATTCCGCATTAGCTGTCGTAGCCATCTCCCCGTACGCGCCTACCCTGTGTTGTTCGCTTGTCGTTCCTGACTGTCGTGCGCGCCCACCCGTGCCTCTCGCTCCTTGCTCCCGCAGGCCCACCCGCGCCGCTTGCTCCTGCGCATCGGGCGCACCGCCCACCTCTGTTGATGCTCGTGGTGCCGCCGCGCACCTTAGGTCGGTCCCTAGCCTAGCCAAGGGCACCCATGAGCGTGGCCCGTGTGGTGGTGCTCGCGGCCCGAGGCCAGAATCAACCGGCCCGGACCCCTTCTTCCATATGTTGCAGTATGTTTCAAGTATTTCATATGTTTCAGATATATGTTGCAAGTGTTTCGTATGGTTGTTGCAAAAGTAGATCGGGATGTTGCATATAATGTAAGTGTTTCAAAGGCATGTTGCGAGCGTTTGTTCAAAAATATTTCATCTGTTTCTGACGTATGTTGCAAACGTTTTTTATCTGGATGTTGCACATGTTTCACACCTATATTGCGAGAGTATGTTTGAAATGTTTCAGCTGTTTCAGTCGTTTGTTGCAATAAGTGTTTTCATATTGCGATTTGCAAGTGTTTTATTTGGATGTTGCATATGTTTTACACACATGTTGCAATTGTATGTTCCAAATGTTTCATCTACTTCAATAGTATGTTGCATCCAAGTGTTTCATGTTTCAGAGGTAGGGCGTCATGGGGGCACGGCCTGGGCGCCGAGGATGGGGCGTGGCGATCCGTGGGCTGGCGGTTGAGGCGCGTAGCGTAGCTAAGATCTTGCGGACGTGGCGTGCTCGACTGCTCGTGCTCATGCCGGCTCTCGGGTCCCGCCCGCCAAAGATAGAGGAGGGGGGGTTAGGGGAAGGAGCGGCGGGCGCGGCATTTCCCACGGGCAAGCAGGCGTCCGGACTCACGGTCGCGGAGTGAGAGGAGGGGGCTAAGGGGGAAGGAGCGGCAGGCGCGGGCTTTTCGTGTGCTCGTGTGACGAAGGTGGCGCGGGTGTCTCGACACACGCTTTTGTCCGGACGTCCGGGCGCTAGTATCTTGCAAAAACATGTGTGTTGTTTGACATGGTCTCAGTGCCGCCTATTCGCTTCGAACTACGGCCAAGTGTGTTCCAGATGAGAGCGAGAGAGAGGAGTTGGGATGCAAGTTGCACTTTTTTAAGATAATGGTTAAATTTTAGCTTCAGGCCTCTTCAAAGAAAAAGCATAACTCCAAAATTATTACAAAGTCTAATTAACTCTATACATCAAGTTTTACATTAGTATCTAATATGAAAGATAAAATGTTCATGGTGTTGTTGAGGCCCTCAGACTTTGACAACAAGGTGGAAAATAGCAAGTCAGAGGTACAGGTACTGTTCCATATACGTCTGAGGACTTTGTTCTTAATTTAAGACTTCTCTAATTTTGATCAAGTGTCTAAAAATGTATCAATGTTAATTGTCAACATCAACTGAATTTTATCCAATCAACTATATGCAATATGTCATAAGAGTAAATTTATTTTGTATCGTAGATGTCAATTTATATTTCTTTAAAGATGTACACTAGGGGGGCAAGAACTTTAAGGGTGTGAACACAAGGTTGATATGTGCCCTTCTAGTTCATTTTGTGATGAGTGATTGTCAACTCTAAGGGTGCGGATGGTTTGATGGTTTGGGCCTCAAAACCATCGGACCGAGGCTTGGACTTAGGGACCAGGAGGCCTTGTGACCAGCCATAGTGGCCAACATTTCATCGACAAGGTTTGGGCCTCAAAACCCGGTCGTCTGGAGGTTCCGATGAGGAGCAGTGACACGACACGAGTGGCGGGGATGCGTGTATGGAGTACGCATCGAGGAGTTCGTGTTGAGACGAACAATTTCACTATCATCTCATGAGGAGCAGACGCAATGCACATCATGGAGTTCGCGCGAAGGGATGATTACCTCGGGTTGGACCATAACGCCCTCGGGTTAAATGGTTTGACTCAAAATATCTAGGGGCAAAACTAGGATTGTGTAATAGCCCTATTAAGTAGGATGATGGAGCACCCATCTCCCTCACCTTTTTCATTTTGCTTCTTCCTTCCCTAGGTTTCCCCCTCCCCTTAGGTTTTCTTATGAGAGAGGTCCACAAATTGGAGAATTTGTGTAAGAATCAAAGATTGCAGTGGGAATGGAGGCCCTAACCTCCTCGTGTCCTCCGGGATTCGATTTGTGAGATGTTCTTGTGAATCTCGTTTGTGTTCTTCGCGTTCTTGTTTTCCCCCTTTCTTTCTTGGCTCGATTCGTCAATTTGAGAGAGTTTTGACTCGTTCTTTTTTATCTGAGATGGACTAGGACGTGAGTTGATCCCTTCCACCGAACGATTTCATCTAAATCCTCACGAGTTCATAGATCGGGGCAAATCTAGTTCTAGGATGGAAAACTTGGTTTCATCGCAATTTCTTGATTTTCCGTTGATTGACTTTGTTTTGGGCGATGATCTTCTAGGAGTGGCCTATCAACTCTGTGGTGATCCTCTCTGCAAAGTGTCAAGTCATTCCGAGTTGATTTGATCGAGTTTTGGGTGTTGAATTGATTTTTCTCGAGAACTGCTCGAAAATACCAGACACGTCCGGTATGAATGTCAGACGTGTCCGGTAGGACAAACTTTCGATTTTTGGACTGAAATTTGGTGGAGACATAGCTCAAGGTATCTAGAGACTGTGGTTAAAATTTCATAATATTTAGACACCATTTGCTAGGGTTTTCGATTTTTCTCCCAAAGTCGTTTTGTGCTGTTCAACATACCGGACGTGTCCGGTATTTGCTGACTGTGCTCAGTTCGGCAGGTTTTCTGAGGTCGTGCTTACCAGACATGTTCGGTGTAGTTCCTGGATGGGTCCGGTGTGAGTTGGTTGCGTGCTGTTTCTTCCACGGTCTGTTCGTTTGAGCTCCAATTCGTTTAGCATCTGTTGCATTGGCTTTGTGGTGTCCTGGTGTGTTCCTAGGGAGCATCCACCTTATCATGAGGTTTTGGATTGCGTGTTTGGTGGTGATTTTGGGACAGCGGTCGAAAGTTTTGAAAGAAATTTGCGGCTCCCATTCACCCCCCCTTTGGTCGCTATTTTTGGTCGTTCAATTGGTATCGGAGACGGTTAACGATCATTCCACCTTAATCGGTCCGAGATCCACGAAGGCAACATGGAGCATGGTTCCGGCAAACCAACTTTCTTCGATGGAATAAACTACCCCTATTGGAAGATTCGCATGTTAGTGCATCTTTAGGGGATTGATTGGAAAGTTTGGGAGATTTGTGAGAATGCTAATTACGTTGTGCTTGAAGCTCACATTACTCAAGATCAAATTGATCAACACAACACAAATAACAAGGCTCATAGTGTTCTTTTCTCAAGCCTTTTGCTTTTTGAGTTTGAGAGAGTCTCCGATTGTACGACTGCTCGAGAGATCTGGGTGAGTCTTTAGAGCTATCATGAGGGAACCACACAGGTCAAAACCAGACTCTTTGAGATGTACAAGCGAGAGTATGAGAACTTCTCTCAGTTGGATGGAGACTCTATCAATGCCATGTTCTCTCGCTTTCAGACGATTGTGAACAAGATGCGGGCAAACAAGCCGTAGCTACCTTATGATGATCATGAGAGGGCACTCAAGTTACTATATGCCCTAGATCAGAAGGTTTGTGATATGAAGGTGTCCGCTATCATTGAGTCCGCGAACTATGACACTCTCACGGTGGATGAGCTTTTCGGCAAGCTCAAGTCCACCAAGATCGATTACCAGACCTAGGCTAAGATCAAGAACCCCTATGCACTGACTATGGCTTTGGTCTCTGGTAAATGCTCAAGTTCTTTAGCTAACCCTTCACATATCTCGTTTGCCTTGTCTTCTTTGGTGTCTGTCATAGAGGAGCAGTTGGAGGCACTTGGGGACGATGAGCTAGCATATGTCATCAGCCGGTTCTCGCGGTTTCACAACAACTGCTTGAATCGCCGGCGTGGTGGGGGTCCGAAGGAAGGATTCTATGGCTATGGAGACCCCGACCACTTCGTCACCCATTGCCCCAAGAAGAACAAGAACTTCTCTAGCAAGCATGACTTCGACAAGCGCAAGGACAAGCACGAGTACACCTCCGACAAGCACAAGTCGAAGGAAGGTTTCAATAAGGAGGCGCTCAAGAAAATGTACCTCAAGAAGGCCAAGGCCCAGGAGTGCGCCTTCATTGCCTCCCTCAGTGACCTCGACAATGACACCGACGATGACCGCTCCTCTTCCTCCTCGAGCAACGATGAGTCCAAGAGGAAGCGTGAGAACAAGCTGATCGGGCTCTGCTTCGTCGCCGGTTCCACCCACGGAGGGTTCTGCACCATGGTGGTAGATGATGAGGTGAAGGCTAACAAGGATGTGGTTCCTGTTGATGATGACACTACTGAGGTAACCCCTTCCGTCGATGCTCTTGTTGCTGAGCTTGAAACCATGAACGACACCTTGTTTAGCCAAG